CTCGGCCACCCCCGCCACCCCCTCCTCGACCACCCCCTCCGTCCCCCCCTCCACCACCCCCTGCATCCCCACCCCCGCCACCGCCTCCCTCTCCTAGTCCTCCGCCCCCACCGCCACCCCCGCCGCCTCCTCCGCCCCCGTCCCCGCCGCCTCCTCCTCCACCTCCGCCGCCCCCTTGCTTGTCCTGTGTCTACGTTACCTTGGACCCACCCGCCAGTGCAGTGTTCAGGATCGTCTTCACCCCGGATGACTGCACAAGGATCGCCGACAGGATTGTTGCCGATGTCAAGGCAGAGGCCGCAACCTACGGATCCATCCTAATTGGCGAACCAGTTTCAACTTGCAACGACAGATACATCAAGGTTTGCTTTAACTTCGTGTCGGATCCAGTCGCCGCCCAGCTACAGCCCTTCGTATCGAACCAGGTGTCCTTCTGGCTGAACGAGGCTCTGGGCGCCCCAGCCTGCCCGGCCTACCTGGCGAACTACAAGGTGACGGTCAAGGTCGCTCCGGACGGCGATCCGTTCAACACCCCCACGGGCGGCTGCCTGGACGCGCTTACCTCGGTTGCTTGTAACGCAGGCAGCATCAACTACCCGAAATGCGTGTAAGTAGTGGTGGTGGGGGTACATCATGGCACGGGTACACTGCCTTGCGAGGTGGTAGGTAATGAGGACATGACATCTGTCCGGCCCCGTACAGCATTAGACGAGCTGATGGAAGCACAGACAAACAGACAGACAGACAGACAGACAGACAGACAGACAGACAGACAGGTTACACAGATGAATATGCAGGTAGATAGATGGGTAGGCAGTTAACTAAAGCCCGACTTCTGACTTGCCAGGTCTCAACTATGCATCGATGAAATCATTCTGAAGTTGGTATGGTTCTCCACTGTCCGGCTTTTACGCGTCTGAATGGCGGCACAAGGAGACGACTTAAATGTGGAAGTCCAACGGTGGATTTTTCGTGTCCTGCCTTGTCGCGGGACGAAATATTGAGCAAGCAGCACACGCACGCACACTGCTACAGCTGCAGTTGCAGCTGAAGCCGTAGCATCCAACCCGCTTCAACGAAACAGCTGTGATGGCCGTACAAGTCCGCACGGGAACCCAGCGCGAGCTGCGCGGGCTGTCCCTTTCCATATACCAGAAATTTTCCCGTGATCGTTCCTCTTGTCGTAATAATCATTGCCGCATCCTGGATTTTGCCTCACCACTTTGTGTGGTTCGCAGGTGCAACACCCGCCAGGCATCAACATCATTCGCCGTCATCCCCTTCATGAACAAGTACCCTGGTCGCAAGAACTACACCAACTTGTATTGCTTCAGCATCGCTGTCGTCACCCCGACAGCACCCAACGTGAGTTTGCCGCGAGCAAAAAGATTCATGCTTGCGTTTGGGTGCATGATTCCCGGGGGGGGATAAGCTACTGCGAGATGATGATGCATGCTGCATGATGTGGTGGTAAAGCTCTGGGGTAATATGTACTCCTAACTAGCATGGTGACCATGGCTGAGCTCCCAACCAATGCGGCTCTGCGGAGGTAAACCAAAACAACAAGCTTGATAGTTTGGTCAGTTGGAATCTAGAGGTGAACCCTTCCTCCGCCTCCAATAGCAGTTCATATGCACGGCCTGTATCGCTTTGGCTACTTGGGTTGCCGCACTATGGTACAGGTTGCACACAAGTGCCTCCAGCGTCGTTATGTACACGTCGTTCACGTCCTAAGTGCCGTACAGAGGCTCCTCGGCCAACTAAGCTTACGCAATGTGTATGTACGGCTGGTTGCTTAACATGGGCCCGAGACCGAGCTAGCTTGCTTTTGCCTGAGGGTGCCTGAGGGTCAACCTCCTCGTGAACCACCACACACTGCGCCAATAGTCCCTCCCTGCCAACTACCCATGCTTGCACCCTCGCATCGCCCTAGCAAAGCCATTCCCTAAGGTTGAGGACTTGCCATCAAGGGGTCGCACAGAAATCTGTGATTTAGGATCTGATCCCCTTGTTTAATTAAAAGGGAGTTCAGCTTGAATCGCCCAGCTCTCACTAGTAGGGTCTGAGTAGGGCCCCAGCTGGCGGGTTATTGGCCCTGTGCCAGGGTTACACGCACCGCCCTAGATTTGGCCCACATGGCTGATGGGAGGGTCTTCGGCGCCGGGTTGGTTGGTGGACACAGACGAAGATACGCCGGTGAAGGACAGTTTTAGGAGGCCGTGGAGGTTTTAGGAGTGGCTCCCAACCCTTGCAACGCTGGACCCTTAATGCACGCCCGGGTTCCGGTCATGGTCATGGTCATGGATTAGACTAAGCTTTACTTCATCCTCCCTCCCTTCCGCTTCCCCTTTCCCCGCCTGCTGCCGCCGCACCCCTGGTATGGTGTAGAGCGCTTGTGGCAAGACGACCACCCTGCGTTCTGTGGAGTTCTGGGCCGACGATACCCAGCGCGCCCGCGTCAAGGGCATGGGGGTCATGCCCAAGGGCGCCACTACCATGACCTACCTCTCTGAGTCATGGGGTCCTGTGGGTGACGACACCCTGAAGTCACCCGTCCTCAACTGGAACAAGGCTCAGGCCGACGGCGCGATGGTCTGCCTGGAGGTGGAGTACATTACCAATTTGGATACCTTCTGCAAGTACGGCCATGGCACTTGCTGGTAAGTGGTACCGCAAGTGCATCGACACAAGGCGGATGCGTCTAAAAATATAAATATAGATAAATACCAGGATTGAAGCCCAATGAGGGCAGCAACGACATTGGAGAGAGTTGGTGGAAAGAGGATTTTTGTACGGCTAAGGGGCAGCGGGGACTTCCAGCCCGTTTCAACTAAGCAGGGGCCATACCCCGATGTAATTGTAGGAGTGGATGGAGTTGGATTGATCTAAATCAGCACTGGTCTCCGTGCTGGCTCTATCTCACTCGCTGTATGTCTCTCTGTTTGTGCATTACCTCTGCGCGTCAGGCTGAACCTCTTCAACGACGACAAGAGCTGCTGCCCACTCTACTCGGCGACGCTGCTCTGAGCGGCAAGGAGTTACTGGACGGGCCTTATGGCATTGCGTGCTTGCATGGGAGATGATACGTTGGGACTTGAGGAGCCGCTGCCTGCCTGCATCTGCTGCCAGTGCTTCGCGTTTGTGCTGCGGATGCTGCCCCATGGCATCAGGGCGCGTGCCCTCACCACCACACGAACCCACGTCACCGCTTATAAATACTAGCGCCATGCATGTGCGCGCGCTCCGTTCGAGTCCCGGTGCCTTGTGTTATTGCACATATGCTGTGGAAACCGCTTGGTTCGGGAGTGTGCTATCGCGCCCCCGACACACTCAAATTTCATACTACTTCATGCATCGCGCAACCCCCGGTGGAAAGCACCGTGCTAGTGCTTATCTCCGCGATAAAGTGCGGTGCGCTTGCCTTTCGACTGTGAAGTATTTGCTACAAACTTGGATGGCAGCAGCACGTTGTAAACTGTGGCGAACTTGAGATGGTTGGAAAGAGATATAGAAATAGAGGGGCAGTCCGGGGCACACCGCAAAAAGTGTTTTGTGAACTCCTTCACTCGCTTCACAGTTGTTGGTTAGCTGTTCTGGTATGCTCGTACATCATGCACCTGTACGAATGTTGATGTCCTATGGTCTCCATAGGAACTAACAGTCGTCAGTGTGATCATGCCCCAGCATCTGACTGCTACTGGTATTAGCAGGTCTTTGGAAAGACTTATACCTCAAAACCGCGATACACGGCCGGGTTAGGTACACACGTCTGCGTGCTGACACATAACCCGCCCGAGAATTCACGCTTTTGGGGCGGTTGGGGCAGTTGCCTGGAAATATATGTATATTGGATTCAGGTGCATGCACGCGCGCTCAAGCATTTCGTGTTGTGCCCCACGTCGCTCATCACTGCCCACCTCGGCAACCCTTTACTTAACCAAACCACAACAATTGCGAGCAAGGTACCGATTTGCGTTCATCTAAATTGCTGTTTCAATCGTCGTGCGCTTTTGTGTATTACGTTTCAACTCTCTTGCTGCCGTTTAATCTAATAGTAGGGATCAGCCATTGCGATACCTCTTCAAAGTGCGAGGGTTCATTCGTAGAAGTGCCGGAATGCTGTACTGCGACAAAAGGCATCTATCATGGAGTCGCCGGTGTATCGGCTGCATTGAAGCCTGTTTAGGCTACTTAGCAAACACGTTACCGGTTTGCCGCGGATGCACGACCCTATGCCAGGATGTAACCTGCGCAAATCAATAATAATCCTTCCTCTACCGGTCATCATTGCCACCACATAAACATCCACAGACACCTGTCTGAAAAACAAACAAACAGCCTTCAATCCTTCAACCGAACGGGTAAAATATGCCATCGCGGTGCGTTTCAACCCCCCCCCCCCCGGTCTCCACGGCCGGCCGAGGACCGTTTAAAAAGCGAAGCTGAGGTGCTGGTGTACGTGCACGTACATACACGTACGTGCACATACATACATACGCATGTGCATATGTATGTATGTATGTTTACTCGTGTGCACATCGTGTGCCACCGGATGCAGCAGGCATGTGAGCAGCTGTAGCAGGGCGACCGTAATTGCATGCAACCTTGAAAGGTGTGAGCACTAAGTTTACTTTTAGTAATACTGGAATCCCTTACAATGCAGATATACATACGTACATCCGAAAGAACGGATGCATTCTGCATCACAACTGGGCGTGTGCAGCGTGGCACACAAGCAGACCCTGCTGTACATATAAAGTTTCTAGGGTTGTAAATGCCACCAAGAACGGTAGTACGAAGTACGAAGTACGAAGTACGAAGTACGAAGGCCATTTGGGAAATGGCCAGCAGCCATTAAAGCACATGCTGCACTAGCTACCTGCGCCGCGTAATGTAGGCACATTTGCAGTCGACACTAAGCTACAGAATACATATGCATATCTTTAAGCAGCTCTCAAGCAAACGATATGCAGGTACGACTGCCGAATAAAAACTCCGTACATCTCCAAAATGCGAAGGCCACGGCCGGCCGCGCAAAGGTCAGCTCTCGAAAGCCGAGAACGCGGGCTTGACACGTATGTGCGTAAAATTCGCGGGCGGGCGAAATTCGATCGGGAGCTGAAGCGGCTTGAATATCATGCCCAAAATGTGAAGCCCATTGGCGAGCCGCGCAAACAAAGGGTCTGATCTTTTCAAGAGCCAGGAGTGCTGGTGGGATAGATAATAAACATTATGCGTGTGGAAAATCGCGGGCGGGCTTTGACGGACGCCAGATTTGCTGCTGTGCGGCCCGGCCAGCGGGATGCCCCCGCTACTGCGAAACGCCACAGCGTGAAGCAGCGTGAAGTCGAGCGGGCGCGTCCGCAGGTCATTTGGCATGCATGAGTGCACAGAATCATTGAGCTGCTTTGATACTGGCTGCTTGGAGAAAATAATACAATACTTTAACAATAAAACAATAATACAAATAATACAAACAATAATAGATAGGGACAGTCGGAGAAAAAAAAGGGCTGCTTTAACTGATGAGCTGCTGAAATTTAGATATAATAAATAATAATGACAAGATAAGGAACGTCGCTTGCATCGTTTGATGAGAGACATGGCGACAAGGCAACAAAAAACAGGCATGAAAAGTATGGACCTCACAAGCGCGATACAGGCATGGGCAACGTACAACGCCATTCCGGCAACCACGGTGCCACAGATGCGTTTTGGCGTTCAGAGCTTCGCCTTCCAAACAGACGCATTCGCACTTCACCCCAGTCCAATACGGCAGCCATCAGCTATATCTACAGTTCCTTCAATCCTTCCGTAGCCAAACCTAATAATACGCGGCCAGCTGCTTCACCAGATATCCACAATGATTGGTAGTGCAACGTATACAGCACCTTGTTCAGGGTAAAGTCAAATTACAAAGTTGCGCAAAGTATAACATACATAAACTTAATTAAACATAAGAACAGATAAGACGTTTAGAGCCTTGTCGGTGACATGGACGCCGCTGTTGGCTTAGAACAGCTTTTTGCTGTGCATAGGGACGTGCCCGCGTTAGCCGTGTTGCAACAGCTCAGGATGGATTTCAGCCAGCAACAGCCTCAAGAGCTGCTGCACAACCACCGGGAATGTCTTCAGTTGGGCACGTGTAGTTTTGGTCGGCGGGGTCGAGCATCGTACGCATTGCGCACAGAAACCAAGGTGCAGCGTCTCTGTAACATCGCCAACATATCCGGTACGCGGTGGCAGGCTTGCCGAGCACGAAATGAAGGGGGGGTTACCATCAACTAAGCATGCATGTGCTCGGTTGAATGCTCGGTAGCGTGCGAGTTTACCCCTATCAGGATGTTTGTTTGCATATCCCTCCAAGCGAGAGGGCTTGGACCTATGCTGATGTTCGTTCCAAAAAGTAAGCTGAGCACTGATGCTACGGTGAAAGGTATGCACGTAAATTCGCCCGTGCGCCAAACGCCCTGTAACCAGCTTAGACTAATCTCACATTCCATTATGCCACTGCACTTTCCTCTCCAGCCTGGCCCCATTCTGTTGCTCGCAAACGTACTTGGGCACCTTACAATCCAACACCATACGGGCTTTAGAAACGCGGGCAGCTGCTTCACAAGGACCCCCCTATTTCTATCTATCTATCTATCTATATGTATACTGGATATTGAAACGTTACTATTATGTTATTTAACAGGTAGGTGAGAAGGTGGAGAGGTAGGCAAGTGGAATAGAGACAGACGTTTAGGTAGGTGGGTTGGCCGGTAGTTCATTTTGTCGGTCGGTCAGTCGGTCGGTAGTTCATTTTGTCGGTCGGTCAGTCGGTTGGTCGGCGTATCGGTGGGCGTGTCGGTCACTCAGTGTCCCCTGCAGCAGTGCAAACAGCAGGTAACAAGGTACAGCTGGACGAGGCGATAAAACGCCACCATAGCGGCAGGCATCGAGCAAGTCGGTTCTATTGCCACGCGCTTTGGCGAATTTTCACATGTCGCTCACGAGCACCCTGCTCGCGGTCGAAAACGCTGTCAGCCTTGCTGGCCTGAGCTGACCAGCTCACATAGAGCAGGGCGACGCGCCTGACCAGCTGAGCCAGGCGCCCTGCTGGAATGGAGCAATTTCAGGCGGGCCATGTACAACAGCATAAGCTCCGAATGGTCTGACGTTTATTACTTACTTTTGATATGTACTTTTGTACCTTCGATATGTCGGGCCATCAGCTCGCGAGTCCTTTCCTGATAAGGCTTAATGCAACAGCAGAATAGTCTTCAATTGTGATCCATTAAGTGAAAGCCCATAGCATTGACCCGCGCTTTCATTTTATGGCTTTAGGGATGGCTTCAAAGGGAACCAGTTTGGGAAAGTTTCGGCTTTCGGCAATTTGTTTCCTGCTGAGCACAACCGCAAAGCTTTTCTTAGGATTTCGTGAACTCTATTATGCACGGAGACGGCTTGAAAAAAGCGATCTGAGTACTGCCATGATTGTTATATTGTTAATTGGTGGCAGCCCGGCACTCTTTTGCTAATGTGTTACTAACATGGCCAGACGGCCAATTTGGTATTAATTGCCTTCCGTAGCTCAAGAGTGTAACAGCAGATTATGAAATCAACAAACCTTCCTCTCCATAGTCAGAAACCGATATTTGTAATGTACATATCATGGAAGCCGGTAGCACGTGTCCCTACTTGGGCCGGCGTCGGAGAGGGAACCCAATTTAATAACAACTAAAAATTCCCAATATTGAACCGAAAGCCTTTATGAAAAGCTCCATGCGGTCAGGCTGTTACCGATTGCGGCGGGCGTTTGATATATATAACTCAGCAAACTGAGTCATCAACACCGCTTCCTCATCATTGCTGACCTCCACATCGTCACCATCCTCTCCTCCGTGCGAACCAACCCCCCGCCCGCCGACTGACGGCCCTGCACCCTCTGTCTCAGCCCCCCGCCCGGCAGTCACAGGGGACAAGGGCCTATGTGCGCCACTGCAGTGCCACCGCCGGCCCTGCAGGTCCCCCCCTCTGCGTGGCTGTAGTAGCTGTTACATGGTACGTAGCACACGTATATATCGTCTACAAACACGCGCTAAGGCGCTCCATCAGCATCCTGAGAGGCCTTTTCAGCGGCCAGCTACTACAAAAGGTATCTCCTTACCGCCACTAGCAGTCCCATCGCTGCAAGTGCTGCTTCTGCTGTCTGAGCCAGCGCCGGTCGCCAAACTAAGCTCCACACCCTGCTCCAATTGCATTTTGTAAGCTGCCCGGACTTGCGCCGCACGCGGACGACGATTGCCTTGTAGATCAGCAGCGTGTGCGGAGAAACGAGGGGAGGGGATGCGTGGCTTCGGGCTGGACGTTATCAGGCTGAGTGCGTGCATGCGGCGTCCCTGGGTGCGACACCAGTCTCGATCTGCTTCTCAAGCTACCGGACAAAGTACCAAGCTGTAGAGCGGTTGATGCTGTGATAGTAGTAGATCCTTCTAAACGGCTTCTGGATTTTAAATTCTAGCGGCTGCAGCTCAGACGCGCAGTTCGCCGGCAAGTAGTGTTTCGGCACACAGCTTGGCAGCTTGGGCATACGAAACCAGACATGCTAGAAATTTATGAAGGATGGCTCTGTAGCGCCGCGCCGCGGCGGGCGGCACCCAGCGGCAGCCCAAAAATTTTCGCGTTTGGGGGAACCGCTGGATGGACACACCGGGGCGCCCAGGATCGTTTAGAGAAAGGAATCGATACCAGTAGATTGTTGTAGTGGGATCGGATCGAGATTTGTGTGCGCGAGCGGAAGCAGAATCAGAGTTTTGTCCTGAGACCGTAGGCCCAGGTGTGGTGGAGAGCCTGATGTGAGCAGAGTTTTACTGCTCCTTGGCCACTAGGCCCGATGTCAGGTTGGAACCTGGTTGGCTGTTGACAAGATAAAATGGGTGGGAGTTATCCACGCCAAGTGAAGGTGATTTCCGTTACAAACTGCCTTGGCCGGTGCGTCCTGCTACCGTGCGCGGGAGTTGTATGATTGGAATATCCCTCGGAAAACATTGGTCAGGCCGCGCCTTATATATGGTAAACGCGCCCGCCATTCGTACAACTGTCGTATGGTCAACGTAAGACGTAGCTACCCTTTTCGCGCAGCAACTGCTCATTACGCAACGGTAGCTACCCGTTTACGCAGCTCCTGGCCAGGTTCATGGCGGCCAAAGGAAACTGAGAAGAAACTAGTACAGGATATTTTTCATAGAACATTTCTCAGACCGGAGCTAGATCGTCAGACACAAATCGCCTGCTTTTACGTCGCCCGGTCGAAACATACATCGTCGGTCTTTACGCGGTGCGCCGTATGTACACGACCATTCTCAACGCGTTTATAGTTTTTAATTAACGATATGGCAATATTCGACCTCCTGCTATGCCCGGAACGATACGCAACCAAAGCCGTCAGACTCAGTTTTCTATGACTAGCTGGACGTTGCTACAGATCTCATCTATAATCTAAGGGTTAGAGGATAATCCCAGAGAATAAGCCTTGGTAGGCGTATCGGCGCATAACGGCGCACATACATCTAGGCTGGCAAGGGCTTGCAACAGCTTGTGTTTCCAGACCGTAACCCTTTATGCTATGCACGCGCGCTTAAGAGTAGGCTGTGAAAAAGTTTGTGCTAAGCTGCATAACCCATCCAGCTCGTTTCGTAAAACCTCGAAGATATAGGGTGAGCGGTTAACATATTTGGGTAGGTGCATTGCACCTGTAGGTACGACGCTAAAGCATGATAAACGACAGCGTATAGGAGCACCATACATCAATATTGTGAGTTTATTTTCCAAATGCCTTCATTGCAGCAGTACAAAATGGCGGCGAAGATTTTGGCTGCGGTTATTTCAGCGTCCATCGCTGTGTGAGTTGACTAGCCGACGCAAATTAGGAGTTCACCAGGAAGTGCCTTCCTACCTTTAAGCAGGATTGACCTCGATTTTTCCTGCCATATCTAGGCATCCATCATCGCGGAATGCTATGTTTCCCTCGCTCCCTCGACCTACCTGCCCGTTAGAGTCTATCGTCGTCTATCCTGCGTTATCATCTTTTGCCTCCATGGAATTTATAATCAACTTATTTTTGGTAATACTTACAACCAACCTCTTACCTCGTATCGTGCGACTTTCCGCCGCGCAGGGTGGTCAGCGCAAATCAGGCTGCGGGCGTGACGTCCTCCTTCCCTTTCAGCAACTGCTCGTCTGCTGCATCAGCTTACAGTCTGGCGCCATCAGCGAAAATATATGGCACCAACAACACATTCTGCTTCACACTGGCCGCGAAGCAGGGCAGTTCGGGGTATTGCGATACCAAGGCGGATGTCTACAAAATCGAGGTGAGGGCGAAGCACCGCGGGTGAGCTGCGGAAGCAAGTAACTGATCCTGCGACTCAATACCAAGCTGCGCTCTCCTCCAATACTCTTAGTGTCTGTCGCTCGAAAATAGACCAATTTCCGCTGCTCTGCCCGCCGCCACTTCGCCCCAAAGAAATGGCACTCCTTTCCTGGGGTGTGAAGATAACGTGATTCCGGCCCTACTGCCAACATCTATCCGCAGATCAACGTCAAGCCCACTTGCGACTTGGGCTCCGTCACCGTACAGTCAACCCTCAACGGCAAGCCCACTGCTGTCAGCCCCGCGTTCAGCTATCCCCCGGGCGGCCCAGCAGGCAGTGTCGTCCTGCGCCTCACCCAGCTAGGTCTGGGTCTCAACAGTACGGGCTCCCAGATTTGCATAACGCTGTCTGGTGGTCAGGGCTGCACCACCCTGGAGCAGCTGTGCCAGCCGCCTCCGGAGCTCACTGCTGGTGGTGTGTGCTCAGCTGCTCTGTTCGATTCTACGGGGGCATGCTGCCCGGTCACTAACTTGCCGAGCAGCGCCATCGCCCGCCCGCCCAGCCCTTCTCCACTAAGACCGCCACCCTTCAAGTCACCTGCGCCCCCGCCCCGCTCCCCTTCGCCCCGACCTCCTTCTCCCCGACCTCCTGCACCCCGACCTCCTTCTCCCCGACCTCCTGCACCCCGACCTCCTTCTCCCCGACCTCCTTCTCCCCGACCTCCTTCTCCTCGACCTCCTTCTCCCCGACCTCCTGCACCCCGACCTCCTTCTCCCCGACCTCCTGCACCCCGACCTCCTTCTCCCCGACCTCCTGCACCCCGACCTCCTGCACCGAGAGCCCCCTTAACAGGGCCGCCTTCACCGCCTCCTTCCACCAACCCAGTGTCAGGATGCAAGGTGTGCGCCTTCATGACATTATACCAGGACACAGCTGTGAACCCCAACTTCCGCCCGATGACGATGGCGGAGTGCTATGCTTTCGGCTATATGGTCATCAACGACATTTCGTCGCAGGCGGATTACAACAGTGCAATCTTACTGGATGGGGGGTCCACAATCGCATGTACCGATACCCAAGCCAAGGCGTGTGTAACCTTCGCATCTAACAGTGACGGGGAGGCGCTGCGTGATTTTATCGAGGCCATGGCGGAGTATTGGCTGTCGTACGCTACGTCCAACTACCTGTGTGTGCCCCGGCGGGCTGTGACAGTTGTCGTCGATGTTGGTGGCGATATCGACCCGGTAACTGGAATGCCGTCTGACAGTTGCCTTGCAGCACACTCTGCCAATCTATGTGGCTAGGCGGGCGTCCCACAACTTTGCGTTCTCCGAAACAATTTGATTTACTTTGCTTGCCTCGAAACAGAAAAGCTGTGACGGAGGTGGGCACGGATGCACACGGACGTTCTGATGCTGCAGCACATTAGGACGTCGCATGGCGCTGCCAGCAGCATTTATTTATGCAATGTAGTTCATGTATGCATCGTTCACATCTTCTTTTATAGACGTCTGAAGTTGTGTGCCGTTAAGCAGCTATGCTCATGCTTGTGATTGCCAGCTGCCGCAACTCAATTATAGCTTAGAGCGCTGTGTATGTGGTATGGGCTTCCAGCCCGCCCTGTCGTCCCAGCCGGAGGAGAGCCCGAGTCCTCGCCGTGCATGCATGGCGCTCTGGAGCCCACCGGGAGGCGGCCATGGCTTGCTGCGTGATTGCCGTACGCCGCGTGGCGTTATTGATATCCCGCGTCCGTTGATCCTGTATGCATGTCCAATCTGACGGCCGTAGCTAGCTACAACCAACAGCCGCCCGCCGGCGGTTGGCTAACTGACCTGTAATGCCGGACTTGTACTGTTGCTAATCCGATGACATTAGGGTTTGGGGGGCTCTAAATATGGACTTCTAACACGAAGCGGCACTGGATTTAGCTTTGCCCTGCTTTGTTTTAGAAATTTTCCGTACATAATCTCAGGATTATGTACAAGATGAATTGTCGTAGTCACCCCATGGCCGGCAGTAGCGCGGCTCTTGGTCAGCAGTAGCGCGGTAGCCATGATTAGATTTATTGATTTGTAAGGGCGTCGCACAGGCATTATAGTCTCAAACTGTCTCAACCAGGTGGCAGCAGCAGTAGGAGTAGCAGTAGCAGTAGCAGTAGCGGTAGCAGCAATAGTACCAGTCCGTCACTCCCCCAACAACGTTTACCGGTGAGTGTGGTCGCACACACAGACAGACAGACAGACAGACAGACAGACAGACAGACAGACAGACAGACAGACAGACAGACAGACAGACAGACAGACAGACAGACAGACAGACAGACAGACAGACAGACAGACAGACAGACAGACAGACAGACAGACAGACAGACAGACAGACAGACAGACAGACAGACAGACAGACAGACAGACACAGTGGTGGTTATCTCTACGACCACATTTCATTCCCGACCTTACGAACTCAAGTGAGTTATTGCGGACAGTTGAGGTTTCAGGACAGCTGCTGATGGGGTACGGTGACGGATGCTCAACCTGACACTGTTCAACCGAGCATTTTTTCATCCTGTACAGCACAGCACAGCCGAGCGACTGCGAAACCAAATTGGCGTTTCGAGGACAAACCCTGCTAAATCTAAGGGATACGCCCGAGCTGCAATTCGGCTTTTTCCCAGTTTACAAAGGAAAAAGAGGAACTCAAGAGCCGTTGCGTTTGTGCTTTTGCTTCTCTTAGTATTCACCCCTGCATAACCGATGCCCGATGACTCATAATCGACGGTATGCAGCTTGCTACAACCACTACCCGCTACCTTCCCAAATGCATTACATCCTCGAACGAAGCCCGGAAGCTCTGCGATTATGGAAATGCATCCACAGTTCCAGACGCATCTTCGCCACCCTTTTCAGCACGGAAAAAAAACTCGGATCGACAGAGCAGGCTAGCGCCCATACATGCGCCCGGCAGAAACCAAAAAGCAACAGACATGTAACCCCCGTCATTTAACTAAATTGCTAGTTTTTCATTGAAGAACAGCGGTGCCGCCAAACTGCGCAAGAACATCGGGACGTGGAGCCAAGTAGTGGAGCCTTTATGCTCTGTGCGTACGGCAAGTGGATTTCTTAGGGGTTTCTTATTATAACCTTCTGTAGAAGCGATGTGCGCACCACGTGCTCAAGCAATGCACAAGAGTTGTTCGTTTCTGCCTGTTCTGCTTGCTGGATCTATCGCTGGCCTCCGTGGAGCCTTATTAGGGCTTCTTTCAATAAAAAAAGAAGCATCCTGTCAGTGCTATTAAATCTGTGCCAGATTTACAAATTGACGAATGCTTATATAGCTATCGATAGGAAAGTTTTGAACGGTATTTGCTTTAAGGCACAAGGCAAAGTCGCATACCTGCCCAAAACGGTTACCATACATGATGTCGAAATGATGCCCGTCCCGTACGTGATAACACAATTTGGGGCTCAGTTCACATTTCTAATGTGAACTAATCCTAATCATTTCTAATCCTTCCTTCCGCCTGCCAAGACATAGTCACGGTCGGGCGCTGTTTTTATTAATGCGGGTGACCACCAGCCATCAGTCCGGTTAGACACTTCTAGGCATTGTTAGTGCCATAGTTCTTGACTGATATAGGATGATGTCCGCATTGCCGTGACGGACTTAAAAGATGAAACGATGCCAGCCTATAATAATTTACTAGACCCCACCGTGTCATATCACCACTCAGCATTCGCCAGCTCTCCCTACCATCAGAATGATGTCAAGGGCTGGGCTATAGGAAGCGAGGCCTCTTGCACTTTGGGAGGTTTGGGAGATGGTGGAGTGGTATCAAGCAAAAACGCAATGGCCGTCGCCATATATTCGGGTGCATGCCGGGACGTTTGACATCTTGATGGCGATATCAATAGTCGATTACAGAGTAGCGGTGCGATACAGATTAAGTTGTCCCAAATGCCCCAAGACACGCCCAAGGAGCGCAGGAGACAGCGTGGTGCACTACGTAGTTTCGTCCACAGCGCTTGTTTCCGCGGTATTGGGCCGGCAAGTGCTGCCGGTACTGCGGAGACAAGTCTCAACAAAAAATTATCCTCATTGCTAAATCAGGTTCCCCAGTTCCGCCAAGGCCAGGCTGGAGCACGTCCCCAGTGCTTCGGTAAGCCTCGGAATGATTCGGCAGAACAGCGCAGCATAGGACTGTTTCGCCCCGCCCCACTTCTCCGCCCACCTCGCACCGAAGTCGAATATTCGAAAAGACGTCCACGGCAGATATTGAAGCAAAGCTAAGGGCGTGAAAGCGAGCTCCTGACGAATGCGCTTAGGATCGCTTGCCAGGCGTCCTAGCGAACAAGAAGCTTTCGCACCCTTCGCACGAACCATGCAGCCACCGCACAATTACGCTGAAATTACATGTGTACTTCGTAAATGTATCATTTTCATTTGCATCTGGCAGATATTTAACTCTTGTTCCGCTCGGTATCGAAGGTTGCGATTGCCTCTTGTTATAATAGACTGCGCAAGGCGGTGATGTATATCAGCACTTTTGAATAATACCCTCATGTGGATACAAACATCGTTTATGTTCAAGGGTATGAAAAGTATTTGGGTTTCGGACCGACAGCTAACACATACAGCTCATAAGCGGGCTGATTTTGGATTATAGGCCGCGAAATATTCATTCAATGATACCTCTTATGTGGCTTACGGAATTCATTCCGGGTGTATTAGGCCCTTGCTGCAATTTCAATGAGATGTGGGGAATGGTAACGAATCTTTTACTAATACCACATTGGACACCAATAGCCACCTTTCTGCAGGGGTAGGAACTCTTACAGTTTCATATCGTACCTATGCCCACGAACTTCCTTTAGTTTAAATACTACATTACGAAGCCGAGAATGGCCAAAGAGATTTTCACCTGAACCCGGTATCAAAGCTAATCAGGTATGCAGATAGATAGATATATAGGATATATAGGACAGATTTACAGGGCGCCGGTTCGGCGACTTCCTACGACTACAGAAACGTAGCTATGACAGTGATAGGCCTCTGCACCTTTACACGGCAGGAGCGGCAGCGTACCGTGCGTCGTTGGCTGTCATTGGCTGTCAGGTGGCAGGAAATTGTTGTGTTTCTCTGTTTGAAACGACTGCGCTGTAACTCGGGGGCGCCCGGGGTTTTGTCTGTACAACCACTCCATCCCTTCTCTAGCACTTTTCCTAGATTTGCATTTTGCTAGCTACTCCAATGCCGCACACAATGCTTGTTAACTATACATCCGGCCCCACTGAACATCTGGCCTTTTTCGCGAGTCCCCTGGTGATCACAACTTCCCCCGTCAATAAAAGCCTGTACCTGTTTTGACAAGCTCACGTGGAACATTCCACAACTCTTTTGGCTCAGGAGGCTACTTTTAACGGAAACTAAGGGCTGGCCGGGTTCTGTTACGGCAACGGCTCTCCGTCAAACCGCTGGCCGGTCTCTACCTCTCCTCATCTCCAAGCTCCCCAGCCCCGATGGAACCTCCCAGGATGCATCTCATCTCAGCAGCCTGGGCCTCCACACGCACCGCCTCATCGCCCACTGACAGCTCAGAAGCCGCAAACCCCGACACCCCCGCACCCCCACCTGGCCCCCCAAACAGCTCAGCCAACTCCGCTGCCACATCGCGGAGCTCATCATGCCCCCGGAGGCCATCCGGGACGAACAAGTTGTTGTCCGCCGCTGCCGTCCGCTGCCTTCCGAGACCACCCCCAACCCCGACCCCCACCCCACCGCGACCAAAGGCCCCACTGCCCCTTCGCTGCGCGGTGTGGCCGCTGCCAGGCCTCAGCTGAACAAAGCCGGCAGGAAGACCTGCCGCGGCCCTGTCCTCCTCCGGGCCCTTCTCCTCGTCCTCGTCCTCCTCGTCCTCCTCGTCGTCCTCCTCCTCCTCTGCCCCCGGCGACGACGACGACTCTGGGTTCGAAGAGGACCCCTCGCAGCTGCCGAAGTCCGCCAGGTCGCCCATACCTCCGAAACCAGGCTGTAGCTGCTGCGGCTGCTGCGGCCGCCGCCGCCGCCGCCGCTGCTGCTCCTGCTGCTGCTGTCGCTGCATCACCTCAAACATTCGGTCCACAGAGTCCGCGATGCCCAACATATCGTACGGCATAGCCAGTGCGGCACGAGAGCCGAGCCGCATAGGTACCGTCATCAAGCTCGCCAGCCCGCTACTGCCTGGCTCGTCAAATCCCACCCCCGCTGCCGTTGCTACTGCTGGCCGTACGGCAGCACCCCCCGTCGCGTCCCCCTCCATAACGCGCACCTGACGGCGACGACGACGACGGCAACGACGACGACGAGGAGGCACGGAGGGGGCAATCCGGAAGAGGGGAATTACTTGAGGGCGGAGTAACGACTGCCAACTGCCAACTGCCAACTGTCAAACTGCCAGACTCAGAACGGGGCCGCCCATCCAGGGAGGGGAAGACGTCCAAGGAAACCACGTGACGTGACGAACTTTTGGAACGAGCGGTGCCGTCGGATTGAGAGGGCTGGGGGAGAAAGCTGGATGTACGGCGAGGCTAGAAGTGTACGGCACTTAGGGTTTGTTCACTAAAATCCTAAGCCCCTGCCCCTCTACCCGCCCATCTCCTCCTTACCTGTAACTCCTCCCAGCTCGACGGCAGAGGTAACGCGACAAGCGCCGCCGCGTCCGCCATCCATGACTCGTCGAGTGCCGTTGCCGACGCCGACGCCGACGCCGCCAGCAGACTGGACGCCGCTGCACTCCCCCCCCCTTCCCGCCCGTCGACAGCCCGTTGACGCGGCGGCGGTGGCTGTAGCAGCTGTCGCGCCAGCGCCTCCCCGGATGGTATCGTACCCTCTCCAAAACCGAGCTCCTCCCAGTCGTACAGCAGCGGCGAAGTCGTGTCGGTCAGCGGATTGACGTCGACCAGTCGTACGGCTGACGAGCTGTCGGACGGCACATACACATCAAAGGCGTCTGTGATGGGGAAGCGAGGAGGGCCCGGGAGGCAGGCAGAGGACAGGATTGGAGAGGCGGTGCGAGTGAATGTACGGAAGCTAAACCCTCCTGCAAAACCCCCTCCAGAAAAGGGGGGGGAGGGAGGGGTATCCCAGCAGATGTACGAAACAGCTGAAACACGGGACAAGGGGGAGGGGGAGGGCTCAGAGAGACGAAGACCAGCACAAGATTTCTTTTCTCATGACAGGTTTTATCCTTTCTAAAACTCCGAGCCCTACGCAGACTCTTAAACCTAAAACCCTAAAACCCAGCCAGCCAGGCCCCCAACCAGCACCAGCACCCCCGCCAGCTCGGCCCACAGCCAAGTCCGCGCTGCATCGGGGTTTGCAGGTAGGAGACTCACAGTCTTGTAGCGGCAAGCTGCCCCTCATTCTCTCCACCCAGAACCCCCACAGCCGCCGGCGCACCTCCCCCACCACCTCCCTGGTGAGGGCGGGGTACACCTGGCTGATGTCCCGCTGGCTGGCGGCCGCTAGCGCCCCGCCTCGCACGAAACACCTGCGGGGAGGTCCAGGAGGGGGAGGGGGAGAGGGGTGGGGTGGGGGGGAAAGACGAACCACGTGAACGAGTGAAGCTGCTGCCAGGGCAAGAGTGTACCAAACGTAGAACTGACCGAAAGGCGTTCTTGAAGTGCGGGTGGGGTGGGGAGGGGAAAGACGAACCACAAACGGGTGGGGAGGGGCGGGGGGTAAGACGATCCACTGGCGATTGAATCAGGTACCAGAGATGGTACCGGATACAGTCCGGGGGGAGATACGTAGGAGATGGGGGAGGAGGAGGTTGAGAAATCCTGAAGGGAGGTATAGGGGGCGGTAATCATACGACGTATGTATGTCGCATGCAACAAGGCGTTACTCCGCTGCCAGGTACGGTACGGGCTCACCGCGAACCCTTCTCCATCCCTCATCAGCAGCAGTAGCGCCCCTCACTCACTCCCCTCACTCCGCTCTCCCATACCCAACCAACAAACCGCCGAGGTAACCATGTACCAACCAACCAACTAACCAACGAATACGGGCTCACCCACCTGAACTCCCTCTCTTGTCGCAGTGGGTACCATTTCTTCAGCACCAGCACGGGATGAAGCCCCAAGAAGGCGGCGGAGGAGGAGGAGGAGGGGGACGACACGGCGGCTCTAACATCCCCACCAGCCGGTTGGCCCCGGTGGCAGGCTGGTCCTGGACCCGGTGCTTGTTCCCGACTGAGGCGCCAAGAACCGGGTTCGGGACCCGGGGCGGGTGCCGGTGCCGGTGCCGGTGCGGCATCACTCGAAGGGGCCCCACCGCCACCGCAACCTGCGTCGCGACTGGACACGGCGCCGTCGACAGCCGTTTCGGTCAACATCCCCGGGGGGCTACCCGGGGCTGTACCCGCCTCCCGCTTCGTAACTCCCAACCGCTGCGGTTGAGATTGCGGTTGAGGTGGTTGGCCTTCCACCTCTCCTTGGCCGTCACCGTGCGCACCGTGCGCACCGGCTGAGGAGGAGAATGAGGCCAAGGACGAGGATAAGGTGGATGAGGCGGCAGTTATGGTGGTAACAACCTCTCCAGGGGGTTCGGCTGTTATTTTAGTTGTGCGGTTGGGCCAACCGTCGCAAGCCGACGCCAGGTTTGGAGCTCTGGAACCAGCACCACCGCCCGCAGCAGTACTCGCCGCCGCCGCAGTAGCGCCCCGGGAGTACTGCGTCGTTGCAGCAAGCCCTGTCGCTGCTGCTGCTGTTGTTGTTTCTGTTGCGGCTGTAGCTGTTTCAGCTGCTCGGGTTGTAGCCGCTGCTTCTGCTACAGCCGCCGCCTCCATTAGCAGCGTCACGTCGTGTGCTACCCGGTCAGAGCTCTTGAGCAGTAGCACCACCTATGGGGTTTTAGAGTTGGTTTTAGAGTTGGTTTTAGAGTTGGTTTGGGGGTTTTCAGGAGTTTTAGCATGGTGGTGATAGACGTGAGGCAAGCAGCCACCACACTTGGAATCCTTCCGTTCACTTCGGTATCGAGGATTGTCAGGTGTAACAGTTAGTTAGTTGGTGCAACAGCAATTGGTTGGTGTAATAGTTAGTTGGCGGCCTGTCGCGTCCGGTTGGAGCACACACAGCCTGAGAGTGCTTCAGATGCGCTGCGCCGGCGGCAGTAGCGCCGGCAGTAGCGCCGGCAGCAGCCACCCACCCTTCCACCCACCCACCTCAGGACTTCCATCGCAGTGCGACCACGAAGCAATTGCGGATTAGAACTGCGTTGCAGCAAACTACCACTACTACTAGATTACCACCACCACTACCACCATACCACCACCACTACTACTACTATCACACCTCGTCATTGGCCTCATCAAGTCCGGAGGATAACTGCGAAACAACTGCACCTGCGCGCCATGCGGCCATGGTGCATGCCGTACTCCTACCCATCCGTACTCGTCGTCGTACCTGATCGGCATTCCGACACTCCAAGGTGCCGCCCGGACTGACCCACAGCGCGTCAGTGGGACAAGACCAGTTGAGTTTGGGAACCACCCGGCCCCCTAGGGAGGAGATGGCCGAGTCTAGGGAGGTTCGGAGATCCGGAAACCGTACGGACCAGTCCACAGACCGGCTCGCGGCCTCGCTGTCACTGCCGTCGGCGGTGCCGCCGCTGTCCTCCCGCATGCCGCTGCCGCTGCCGCTGCCCCCCGGGCCCTGGAGGTCGGAGCTCCTAGGGCTGCCACTCATAAGTCCATCGCGGCCACTGTGGAGGGGGCCGCTAGGGCTGGGCTGGGGTGCTGGGGCTGCGGCGATGCCTGCCGTTGCAATCGTCGCGGCTGCATTGCCGGGTCGGTGGTCCCAGTCATCCCGGCGGTAGTCTCCGTCGGTGAGCAACGTAGCATCAAGCTCCGTAAGCTGTGGCACCTGGGGCAGCAGACGGCAGCGGGATGAGGTGCTCAATCCCGATGGTACGATGCGGTGGGGTCAAGGTTCGGGGATTGGTCGCCGGACGATTATGTTTTATTAGAGTGACTATAGAGTGACTTCGATGAAGTAATCGCAGACACAGGAATTACAGATGAGCTCGCGGGAAGAAGTTGACGTGCTTTGGCTTCTTACCGCCGCCGAGTCATCGGGCAAAAAGACGCCGTCCTCCTGCAGGTACTCCAGAAAGCCCAAGGGTAACGGCACGATGATGGTCTTAAGTGCGTGTTCACTGTGAAGAGGGTACCATGAAGGCAACTGGGTTGCTATGAGCGGGTGACTGTCGGAACTGTCATAACTTGCAATAGACGGCATTTGTGGTCAAAAGGATAAATTTTATGGAAAATTACAAAACTCGACTGACTAGAATACATAATTGGCAATAAGAATGGATCCGAAGAACCGCGAAGGATGACAAACTATCCTTACGGGCATCATCATCATTCGCGCAGTTTTAGCTGTATTATTCCCACGATGTTGGAGTGTTTTTAAACAGCTTGTTTTCCGCACTGCATTACGCAGGCTACAAATTCTACATATCGTTTCCGTGGCGCTCAATTATTTCATAGTTATTACGTCTGATTGCGTCTGACACCCACAATTCTCATATATCACACAATCAAATTCGACGACCTCATGGCGTGCCATCATTCGTGGAAAATCCTCCCTGGGAGACGACTGCAAGACTGTTCCGGGACGCAGCAGATGCAAAGCCGCCGCCATGGCTGGACTCTTTCGCGCCCGACTATCGCACGACATGACAAAAGCTGGCATAGGCCGCTTGCCTCGCCCGCAAAGGCGGCGGGCAGTCGACGCGCTGGCGTCAATGACATTGTGGCCTCAGCAGGCACCACCGTCGTGGAACGCAGAGCAGCTGACGTGGCCGTCCTTGGAAACAGCTGTGTCGCCTTTGCGGCGGCATACTCACTCGCCCGCAGGGGCAAGAAGGTACGGGCTCCGTACACGAGCATCGCACTCACTCAGCAGTACGTCTTGTCTTCCCCAGCTCCCCATACCCTGAAACTTTCCACTCCCCCCGCAACCCCCCCCCTCCCCTGTTTGCCAGGTCGTCCTGCTTCCCGACTTGGGCCTTATGACCGCCGCCGCCGCCTCGCAGCCCCCCGGAAGGGAAGTCCTCCGACCCCTCCTTTTGACCCATCCAGATGCGGCCATGTTCAGGTGCGGGTGGGGGGGGGTTAGGGGGGGTAGGGGGTGCGACTTCAAGGGGGGAGAAGATGAAGGTGTACCCGTGTCCCCCCCCATACACACACATACACCCCTTGCCCCCCTTGGCCCCCCCCCCCCGGCCGCCCCCGCC